GATGGCCAGAACGCAGCTGCGTGGGGCCTTCAGAGGCCGAGGATGCTCCTTCTGGTGCTCTGAAGCTACGTCCGCCTGACAGGCGTGTCCTCCCTTCCTGTGTCAAGCACACCCCCCTCCTGTGTCAGGCACACCCCACCCTCTTGTTTCGGGCGTCCTCTCTCTGCACAGCATTACCCCCTCATACTCATTGTTGTATCAGCCTCTGGTTTTATTCATGTGTTTTCTCCATATGAAATCATATCTTCTCTTCATTTCAAACCAGACCACTCTCAGTCATGGAAAACTAGAAACAGCAGCTCTTGCATTCAGGTTTTTAAATAAAATGTTTAAATCAACGGTTCAGATGTGAATTGCAAAGGTAGCCAGGTGGCGAAGCTGCCACGTTCACAGAGAGGAGCTCAGCTGCTTTCTGCATTGTTATTATAAACCCACGAAAGCCGATTCAGAACCCTGCTCAGGTGAAGCCGGTGGGACATTTACATCAAGATGGCAGTTTTGCTGCACTGCAGCCCAGAAGCACTTGCTGTATTCTTGGTAATATCTCACTCCGTCAGATGGCTCCGTGGGGCCCCAGAAAACACTTCTACTGCTGTCCTCCAGCTGAAGCCACCACCCTCCGTCCCTCCCAGTGTTTTCTTCTGGACTCACCCACAGAAGGATGGAGAAAGGAGGCCCAGTGGAAGTCAGGAACAGCCCTGGGAGAGCACAGAGATGAATTTGTGCCTAAGAGGGCTCACCCACTACCTCTCTTCCTCTTCCCGGAGAGCACCCAGAGATGAATTCGTGCCTAAGAGAACTTGCACACCACCTCTCTTCCTCCTGGGCCCCCTTTGAACACCTGCACCATGACTGGGGCCAGCAGCACATGAGCCTAAGACCATTTTGTGCACCAGGGCCCAGGTCTGAGAGATTAATATGCAGGTGCTCAGGGCTTCTCCTGTCTCCACAGTGACTTACAGACTTAGATTTAGATACAGGTGTGCATATAGATATTGATTATGGATATAGACAATTGTAGATATAGGTACAGATGCAGATATATAGATATAAATTCACCTATAGGTATAAAAGAATAGATTTAGATTTAGATATAGGTATCCCTATATATGTTTAGATGTAGAAACACACATAGATTTCGGTGTCAATATAATTATGGAGGGAGCTCTGCTTTTGTTGTGTTTTGTTCCTAACAAAACACAACAGTTTTGGAGTTAAAGGAACTATATTGATTTCCTGGGGGTGCCGTGGCAAAGCCCTGCAGACTGGGGGTGCCGTGGCAAAGCCTGCAGACTGGGGATGCCACAGCAAAGCCTGCAGACTGGGGGTGCCGTAGCAAAGCCTGCAGACTGGGGATGCCACAGCAAAGCCTGCAGACTGGGGGTGTCGCAGCAAAGCCTGCAGACTGGGCACTTGAACAAGAGATTTATCTCTCAGCGAGTCCTGGAGGCTGGAATCCAAGATCAAGGTGAGAGCAGGGCTGGCTCCCCCTGAGGACTCGCCCCTTGGCTGCAGACACCACTTCTCCCCGTGTCCTCCCAGGGCAGTCCCTCTGTGTGTCTGAGGCCTCATATCATAAGGATATGATATGACATAAGGATATGTCCCACCAGCTTCACCTGAGCAGGGTTCTGAATCGGCTTTCGTGGGTTTATAACAATAATGCGGAAAGCAGCTGAGCTCCTCTCTGTGAACGTGGCAGCTTTGCCACCTGGCTGCCTTGGGCCACGGCCCATAGTGACATCCCCGTGTCACTGCAATTACCCCCTCAAATGCTCCATCCCCAAATCAGCCACATTCTGAGGCCAGGGGCATTGGGGCTTCAGCATGAGAATCTGGGAGATCCAGTTCAGCCCACGACAGCACTTGGCCCACGGTGCCATCTTTTAATCTTCAGAATAAAACCTTAGAAGAAGTTCATACACAGGAGCATAAGCTAATTTCCAACATTTTGCTTCAAATGTTTTCGTTTTAGTTTTTTTCCTGAGAACAATTACAACATGTATTTATCTGTTTCCTACATCTTAAGGACTCTTTTCTATAAACCCTGAAGTCAAATGTGCCTCTGGAGTTGAGACGTTCCCTCCCAGTGCTACCTCTTTGCTAAGGAATCCCCCTGCCTGGACGCCGTCCATCTGCCTCTCCAGGTCTTGCCCCCGTCAAGGGCGTCCGAGAGAACCCCTGAGCCCGGCCCGGACCAGCGCCCATGCAGTGCCCGTGCTCAGGGCAGCTGTGAGCTCCGCGCTGCCTTCTGGTTCTGTGCGGTGGATGTGATGATTGCATGGTGCTGTCCCTGCCCTGCTCTGCCCCTGCTGGGCTCCTGGCTGCTGAACGTGAAGTCAGGGTCCACCGCAGAACACTTGTCTTCCTGCTGAGCCCTGCAGCCCCTCAAGCAGCTGGCTGCCTCCAGGAGTCTCCTCTCCAACAGCTGCCCTGTGCCTCCCTGGCAGGACCCAGGCCCTCTGGAGGCACTGGGCCGGGCCGCCGGTGGAGCCTGATGGGGAGCGATGGTGGACAGTGACCTTCTCTTTCTAAGGAAGAGACTGAGGGAGGGAAAGTGCCCCCAGAGCATCTCAGGAGCTGGGAGGTGAACAGCTGGGGATGCAAGCTTCCCCCACCAGCAGCACCCTTGTAATGACACTGCTGCCCCTGCAAAATCGTCCGCGGAAAATTAGGATGCTGGGCATGACCTTTCTGCATCCCTGATGCACAAGCCTAACTGATGTTCCATGGAGGCCACATATGTCCCTGTTGAAAGGGCCCTGCTCCCACGCAAGCAGCCATCAGTGCCTTCTCCGTACAGACAGCGCAGGCCAGCAGGACCCAGCACCATCCCTGGATGCACCAGCTCTGTCACTGCTGGATAGAACACCCCAAAAGGTTGATGGACGTGGCTGTCCCTCAGCTTTCAGAATGACAGCTTGAATCCCGAGCCTGCTTCCATGAGAGGACGTGGACACGCAGGAAGAGCAGAGGCCCCGGCTTGTGACATCTGCAGGTGCTGAGGGCTCAGAGTGAAAACCAGGACACACGAGCCATCCGTTTAACAGCCCCTCATACGAGCCCTGGCTGGAGCGCCCGGAGGTTCCAGGGAAGGTGGGCACCAGAGCCCGTGTCTGAGAGATTAATAACAGTGCATGGCTGCTGCTTCGTCTCACGGTGACTTACAGACACGACGCCGAGGCTGGGAAGATGAAGCAGAGCTGTGAGAGGAGCTCAATTCCGCTGGCCCACGAGAGCTCCAGCCTGGCCAGCCCGATGATCATGGTTGTCATATTAGACGGCCTCCAGAAGGACAGGAGCAAATCAGGAGGATGCAATGGTTGCACAGAATAGTTCAGATTAGCAGAGGACATCATAAGGAACCACAGTTATGTAGATGTAGTTGTAATGAGAGTAGATATAGAATCAGACTAAATATTATAGGTATGGTTGAGATACTAATACATTCATATAAGGTTCAATAGATAACATACATTACCTAACGAATTCAACAAAATGTAGACACTGGTATAGTGTGCATCACATTTAGATTTTGGATATTAGATGAATGATTAATGGATATACAGATATATTTAGCTTAGGTAAACGATGCAGATTATAAAATATAATTACACATAGTTAACATCAAATCAAGTTAGCTCCATACTGAAAGCATTTTGATATAGAGCCGCCGGTACAGCGCGGATGCTCAGCCTGAGTATTCCCAGCACTTTGGGAGAGCTGAGACGGGCCGGATACACGACGGATCAGAGATCGAAGACATCCCTGGCTAACACGTGAAACCCCGTCTCACTAAAAAATACAAAAAACTAGCCGGCGACGGTGGTGGGCGCCCTGTAGTCCCACTACTCGGGAGGCTGAGGCAGGGAGATGGCAGGGAACCCGGGAGGCGGGAGCTGCAGTGAAGCTGAGATCCGGCCACTGCACTCCAGCCTGGGCACAGAGTGAGACTACCGTCTCACAAAAAAAAAAAAAAAAACAAAAAAAGAAGTTTGGACATAGACAGCAATATAGATTTGTATAGATGTAAATACAGTGTAGACACCCATACCACGACGTAGTTTAGATTGTGCATCATAGCTCTTCTAATAGATACGTGAAAGCATCTCTATCCTGCAGAACTGGTCATGGAATTGAGAAGGCTGAGGAGTCCAGGATCTGCTGTCTACAAACAGAGCCCATGTTGCTGGTGGAGATAGCCTTCAGTCCGGGTAGTTCCGGTCCGGGTAGTTCCGGTCCGGGTAGTTCCAGTCTGAGGGCAGACGAAGCTGCCATGAGATGTCCCAGCTCAAGCAGCAAGTCAGGAAAAGAGAAGTGAAGTCCTTTTCCCTCCACTTCCTGCTCTACTGGGTCCCTGAAAGGATGGGACAGGGCCCACCCATGTTGGGGAGAGCCGTCTGCTTTTCTCAGACCACAGATTCCAGTGCCGATCCCTTCCAGAACCTATCTCAAAAACACAGCAGGAATAATGTCTAATCTGGGCCCCTGTGCTCCAGTCAAGTGGACACATAAAATTAACCATCCCAATCATTATTCTGACCTGAATGCTCCAAAATCCCGATGCCCTCTGTCTGCCCAGGGCCTGGCAAAACCCGATACCCTTTCTTTCCAGAGGCCCTGGAAGGCCTTCACCCAGCCTCAGGGAATCCCCCCTCGCCCAGCCCCACAAGAGGGGGCACCCACACCCACGCCCACAGCAGAGAACTCCAGGGCTCCCTGAAGTGGCACTAAAGAGGTCAGGAAGCCACTCTGGCAGCAGCTGTGACCTTGGCGATGCCCCCGTAGGACATACAGGGGCTTCGGGGCCTGTCTCAGCCGGGAATTCCCCAGCAACACACAGCCTTAAATCTGGCTCCAGGCGCAGTGACTGGTTCTTGAAATTGAAAATGCCAAGAAAGAAAAGTTTGGAGCAAAGAATAAAGGAAAAGTTTCTGCTGTGCGGCATCTGGCCTTTCCTCGGCCCGGGCTCATTTCACACTTTCGGGTAGACATGGAGCTGCTTACGCCCCTGCTGTGCGTCTGCCGTTTGCTGGTGTGAGGTGGGCTTCAATCAGATGCTCGCCATGGCCCAGCACGTGGCTTCTCCTCTTACTCAAGGCTCTGATGTCAGATGCTTGGCTTTGCCAGTTTTTGAGGTTCCACAGGTGGCCCCTGAAAACCTCTAGCCCAATTTCTCAGAACCAAATCCAGCAGGAAGGGTGAGTCCCCCTCCCAGAAATGTCAAACATCAATTCCAGAACGAATTTCCATGGCTGCGCTGTCCTGACTGCCCTGACCTGGTCTGTGCGTACCTGGAATCCCCACCCAGGCCTCGATCGGCTCAGCCTTCCCCGCACGGCCAGCCCCAGCAGCACAGGCGGAGCCCCCACCTGTAGTAGCCATGGGGGTGAGAACGAGTAGCAGCGGATGGAAACATGAACCCAGCCTCTTTCCGGATGTGGGAGGAGCGGCGTCCCACGGCCAGCAAGCTGCTCTGCTCTCCACGGACTTTTAGCAAGAGGCCGGTGTGCTCGGGTTGCCCTGCAGACTCTCCTGCGTCTGTGAGAGGTGGCAGGAAGGAGATCCTGGAGGCGGGAGGATGGTTGGAGGAGCCCAGGAGGAAAAGTCATGAGGTGCAAAAGCTAAAAGGACAGGATCGTTTTGGAGAAACAGGATGTGCATTTAGGATTTATTCATTCATTCTTGTATCCACCAAATACTTGCTGAGTGTCCAAGACCCATGCTAGGAAGACAGTCATGGACACTACCTGTGTCTGGGCTGGAAATGAGACACACCTGCAAATCATGCCCAGGCGCTAAGTGGCACAGGGAACTGCCGCCACCCACAGACGTAAATCATGCCCAGGCACTAAGTGGCACAGGGAACTGCCGCCACCCACAGACGTAAATCATGCCCAGGCACTAAGTGGCACAGGGAACTGCCGCCACCCACAGACGCATTCATCACTGACTTTAAAAAATCCAGCGTGAGAACCAAACCAAGCACCCAATTCCCCCAGCCACTGCCTTCGTCTGGTGCCTGAACGTGCTCCCTTAGCCCCAGAGCCTTTCTTCAACCACAAGTGATGATATTTATCCAGGGCGACTCATGTTTGTTTTAAAAAAACACTGATTGGTAGTATTTAAGTTCTTATTTAAAAGTCAGTTTTCATTTCATCTTGGGTTTCTCCTTGGCCACCTCGAATGGGCACCTAAACAGAAAAGTCAGTAATAAAACTGTGGTCAGAGGAGCTCTGAGTTCAAAGCCGCACTGGCCCCAGGCTGGTATCTCCTTGCGGAGAGCATAGAAGCCAAGGGCCGGACCCAGGAGCCCTTACTCAGTCCCTGGCTTTCTCAGACGAAGACACAGGTCCAGGTGGGAGGCACTTCCTCAGGCCCCTCACCAGATGCTCTGGGGCTGGCTCCCGGGCTGCCTCTCTCCTCTGTCCTGTCTTCAGGGCCTTCTGCACTTCTCTGTCCGATTCACACTGACCCTGTTCAGTTGATTTCTGGAATGGGCTGATGAAACCCAGCATGAGCTCCAAAATCTGCTGCCATCCCGTGCCCCTGTCCCCCCAGGGCTCCAGCTCTGCAAGGTGCAGACCACCTTCCCTCGACCACAGTTTCACCTCTAGGAGGTGTCTGGGAAAAATAAAATGCAGCCAAGGGCAAAACCTCATGGTGTTACACCACATCCCCTACAGACCACTTTGTCCCACTTTCCTGCCCCGGTCAAAGACCCCACAGGGCTCCCTGGGTCCTGCGGTCCACTCAGAGGGCACTGAGAGTCCTCCCTGGTTTGGGCAGCGAGGTGTGCTTTCTGTCCTGCAGGACAGCGTCCATGCCAAGCCCACAGTGAGGCTGCCATAGAGAGCGAGCCAGCTTCTCTGCCCTGTGTCCCCTGCTGGCTCTCCCCACGTCACATTCGGGTCTGGACTTAACAGTCTATGGCTTTTCTGGGCAGATAAATGACCCTCCCTCCCTCCCTCCTTCTGTACATCGTGCTGTGGGGTGAAGGCAGCTGGCCCAGGACAGGGTGTGGCCCAGACTCAGGCAGGACAATGTGGCTTGCCCAGGCCCTGGAAGGTTCTTCTAACCAGGCCTCTTTCTGTGCCCCAGACTCTGGGAGGCTCCCTCGGGCGACTTGGGTCTCCATGTCACTGGCTGCTCTGCTGATTGGAGGCTTGGCCGGTCTCATCTCGACGGTGATTTGCAGGTGGTAAGTCCTTCATTTTTTGACTGTTACTTAGACACAACACAATCTCCTTTCCTCTGGACATGGTTGCAGTGAAGCTGCTTTATTTTCCCAAAGCTAACATAGATTACTGGTATCTCAAAGGCATTGATCTCAGAGCGATTTTGTGCAATGTCTTAGACTCTCCGGATCATTCTTTATGCTTTAAATAATGAAAGTGGAGTGATCGTTTGTACACCTTAGGTGGTGTCAGGTATCTGTGGACGAAGATTCAGCAATATGGAATACATTTCTAACATTAAGTGATTGCATTGAAGTCGTCTCTTGTTAGGAGTAAAGATTCTTCTAAAGGTTTCTCAGAGAAAAAAGGTCATCCATGAATGAAAAGTTTTATTCCTCAGTTTTATTTCCTCCCTTGAGGGCAGAAATTGAAAGTTGAACTTTCATGGTAAAAATGGCGCTGCTGTTGAAAGACTCAGACCCGAACCTGAGAGAACCTGAGAGTTCCTGCCCTGTGAGAGTGCTGTCTGCAGAAAGAACCCCTCAAGGCTGCCTCGGGTGGGGCCGCTGGTCCACGTCCGTAGCCCCGAGGAACCAGCTCTGCTCCTTGCTGCTGCCACTCAACTTGCTGCTCTTGAGAACCAAACTTCTTGAGCATCACTTCATTTTTAATGCACAATTGTTCATTTTTTATAGAAAGTGTTAAAAATAACAGCAAACACTATAAAAAGTCATTGCAGCCCCAGGCTGGGCCCCCAGGGTCATGCCCAGAATACCTGCAAATAGAGGCCACAGTTACTCGGCCTCTGCTGTCCCTGAGTGCCAGGCTCAGCCCAACACAACCTGTGCACGCTCCTGCTATAGCCAGCCCTGCCCTCTGCCAGGATGACCCCTGCAGTCTCCTTTGCCTTCACCTTCACCCTCTACCCCGGCCTTCAGAGCTCCTCACTGGCCAAGCCCCCAGTACCACCCCATACCACACGCATGGATTATCCAAGCCTCCTGGCACCACCCCATACCACACATGTATGGATTATCCAAGCCCCCAAACATCACCCGACGCCACATGTCTATGGATTATCCATGACTTTCCCACCCTACGGCCATCTTCCAGGCTGTTTCTCATCTTCCCAATAATAGAAACTCAACATTCTAGCAAACCTTCATTTTTCTAGTAACTTCTCGGTACACTGAGGAACGTCTGCGCCTTGAACAGGAAACCTTTTTCTCACAGTTTTTGCACCTCCTACAGGGACTGGTTTTTTAAAACTTGAAAGCTTAGCAACCAGAAGTTACCCAGATCACTGTCGTTTCCAAAGGGCCTTGTCAACAATCCACAACAATGGCCTCTTTTCTGTTGTTTTTGTTTTCGTGGCCACTTGTAAGGGAAGCCCCTGTGCCTGCCATCTGCTCTGCATGCTGTTTCTCTGCTGCTGAGATGTGGTAGTAAAGCCAGTTCCTGGTTTCAGTTATTCTGCAAGGCCTCTGGCAACTACTGTGGTTGACCCAGACGCCCACGTTTGACACAAGAGCTTCTGATCCATCTGGCATACGACATTTCAGTGATGTATTTCTGAGTAGCGTCATAGCTTCTGTCAAAACTAACATACACCATAATTCAGACAACTGTGAGAAATTCCTTCCAGTAGAGAGGTGATAGTAACAGCTAAAGCCATGTGTTGGAGGCAATGCTAAGTCATCCTTAGCCACTGTCTCCTCTGATTTTCTGATCAATCATCTGACTCAGGTGTTTGCCATGGCTTGAACTGTGCGTTGCCCAAAACATGTGTTTATACCCTGACCTTTAGGACCTCAGAATGTAACCTTATTTGGAACTAAGGTCTCTGCAAGTGTAATTAGTTACAATGAGATTGCCCTGGAGTACAGGGGACCCTAATTCATATAGCTGGTGTTCCTCTAGAAAGAAGAGTTTGCACAGTCATGCCCGGCAGGCAAAGGCCATCTCGATGGGAAGGCAGATATCAGGGTGGGGTTTCTCTAGGCTGGGGCCTAGGAAGATCGCCAGTGGCCACAGGAACTGGGAGGGAGGCTGGGGAGCTGCCTGCAGGCACCTCGACGTGGACTCCTGCCTCCAGAACTCTAGATCATAAACTTCTGCTGTTTAAGCAGCCAGGTCTGTGGTCCTCTGTGACTGCAGCCCCAGGAAACTAACAAAGTGCTGTGATTGTGTCCATTTTCCGTGTAGCATGAGGAGGTGGAGCGAGAGCCTGTTACTGACTCAAAGCTGGTAAGCCCAGAGCAGATCCTTGAACCCAAGACCTGTCTGGTGCTGGAGGTCGTGCCACAGCTGCCCGGATTCTCCTCACAGGAAGATTATATCTCACATGCAGAGGCTGTTGTTTCAAATAATCATTACCAGTGAAGACTGAATAATCACCTACTCTCTCTACAAGACACTGTATTGATCTGTTTTGGGAAGAGACTACTTTAACGTTTAAATGGTGTCTCTAGTTTTAGATGGGGTGGTGGTAGGAAATATTCCCTTTGTTTTATGAATCATTTGGTCTTTAAACCTTAAAAACTTTAATTACTAATAATTAAAACCCTCAGCTAACCATGAAATAGAGTAAGCAATAAAAATTGAATAGGCTGTAAGCAAATAACTTCAAATTAGCTGGTTCTATATATTTTTTTTTTTTACTTTTTTTTTACACTATTTATTTTCCCAATATGAAACTAATTAGTGAGCTCATTCTTTTTTTTAATTTAATTTTATTTATTTATTTATTATTATACTTTAAGTTCCAGGGTACATGTGCATAACGTGCAGGTTTGTTACATATGTATACTTGTGCCATGTTGGTGTACTGCACCCATCAACTCGTCAGCACCCATCAACTCGTCATTTACATCAGGTCTTTTCATTACGTTTATGACTTCTCTGCATTAATTCACTCCATACTCAATCTTCCACTTTTTTTCAAGATTTTAGTTTCTTTTGTGCTGGGTACGAGAAGGTCCCTCCTTTACTCTGAGAAGTTGTGAGTGGACCTGAAGCCCTTCTCTCTAATCTCGTCAAAGTCATTCTCCTCCAGCTGAATCGTGCTCGGATGAGCTGCGCTCCCTTGCTGGAGGGAGAATGCGCTCCTTTCATTTTTTGGAATATTTCAGCTTTTCTGCCCTGCTGTTTCCCATCCTTTGGTCTGGTTTTACTGCCTCATGGTTGTTCGAATGGTGGTACGGTACTGATGGATGTTTTGGGTCTAGGTGTCCTTCCTGTCTGATAGTTTTCTCTACATCAGCGAGGGCCTCAGCTGTAGGTCTGTTTGGAGATTGTTTGAGGTCCACGTCCAGACCGGCCTGTTTGCTGGGTGTCAGCCAGCAGAGCTGCAGAGTAGATATTGCTGACAGCGAGTGTACTCGCTGTTCTGATTGCTTGCTTTGGAAAGCTTTCCTCTCAGTCGGGTGTACCTCCACTCCTGTAGGAGTTGTGGGGTGTCAGACCTGCCCCTAGGGGGGATGTCTTCCCAGTTAGCTACTCAGGGGGTCAGGGACCCACTTGAGGTCAGGCGTCTGTCCGTTCCTCGCAGATCTCAAATCTTCCGTGTTGGGAGATCCATGCCTCTTCCAAAGCTGATCAGACAGCAGTGTTTGGCCGTCTGCAGAGGTTGTCTGCTGCTTTTTGTTGCTTGTTTAGCTGTGCCCTGTCCCCAGGGTGGAGTGTACAGAGACAGGCAGGTTCTTGAGCTGCTGTGAGCTCCACCCAGTTCCAGCTTCCCAGCAGCTTTGTTTACCTACTCTCTAAGCCTCAGCAATGGCGTGCGCCCTCCCTCAGCCTCACTGCCTGCCTTGCGGTTAGATTCGACTGC